TATAATAGATGGTGTTGATGATGATGAAGATGGAGTAATTTTTATGTGTTTGGAGAAAGAAAGTGGTAAGATATTAGTGAGAAAAGAGAAGAATTTCGGGAATGGAGATAGTAGAGAAGTGGGGGGTTCCAACCCTTTAGAAGGAGAAGGGGGTGTTTTTAACTTTTTATAGATAAATTCGTATATACGAAGTATATACGAAGTATATACGAACAGTTACACAAAAGTCAAAAAAGCTACAGTAGCCCACATGGAAATGAGGTTGTTTGTCTTGTCACTTGGTCCCGTGTTTGAATCCCCATCCAGTGTTGGTGTTTTGTCTTTTTTTTATTCTCCTTCTGAGCCGATTTTCCAGGATATATATCTTTTTAGGGGGGCAAAATCTACAAAGTGGAATGATTGGCGGATTGGTTCGATCTCAGTGTGCACACCCCCAGGGTCGACACTGGATGGGGATTCAAACACGGGATCAAGTGGCGAGACAAACAGCCTCATTTCCATGTTGGCTACTGTAGCTTTGTTGACATTTGTGTAACTGTTCGTATATACTCCGTATATACGAATTCATCTATAAAAACATCTCCCTTCTCCTTCTAAAGGGTTGGAACCCCCCACTTCTCTACTCTCTCCATTTCCAAAATTCTTCTCCTTTCTCACTAATATCTCACCACTTTCTTTCTCCAAACACATAAAAATTACTCTATCTTCATCATCATCAACACCATTTATTTAATTTAATATCAAAATTTATTAATTTTGATCGAAAAAAATCAAAACTAAACAAATATTCATCAAGAATAAAGAGAGTATAAAGAATGTTATTTTTTCATATTATCTTATTTATATTTTTTAAAGATTAAATATGTTTCTGGCATCTAGAAAATTACAATTCAGTGTAATTTTTAGTCCCCCTAAGTCCAAAGTAACGCCAATCCCAAAATCCTGTTCGTGAATCGTGATCTCGAAAAATGACCCTATCAATTGCAATTCCTAAATTCAACTTTTCTGAATATGGATTTCTGGTGCCCGAAGTAGTACGAAATGGGTCTTTGAATAGAGAAATGTTAAAGGTAATAATTAATAGGACCATGCTACACTTACACCAAAAAATATACCCCATTTGTACACCACAGGTTTGCACAAACACAAAAAATATACCCCATTTGTACACCACAGATTTGCACAAACATTTCGATGGTTTACACCGACACAAGTGTTGGTGCGTTAATAAAAATTCACACGGACACAAATGTTGGTGCGTTTAACAAAAATTAGTTTTACACCAACACAAAATGTTGGTGCAAAACTGCAGAGTACAAATTAGAGTACAAATCTTGATGTAAATATAACATAATCCTAATTAATAAGCATTTCACGATCGAACAATATTGAAACCAACACAATGTTCAAAGATGAAAAACCATTCAAAACACACCATCCATTTCATCATAATTCATAACATAAAATAAAACCACATAATTAACAACATGACTCCCCGGAGAACAGAAGAGAAAAAAAAAGAGGAGAAATAAACGACTCAGTTCATCTTCATTAGATTATTAGATCGATCCTCCAGATGTTCAAGCGATTTTGACATCAATGGTTCTGGGCTTCTTCGGCTCCGGAGGCGGCAGCTTCTCCACCGTCACAGTCAGCACTCCGTCCTGGCAAACCGCCGATATCTTCTCCAGATTCGCGTTTTCCGGCAGAGCGAACTTCCTCATGAACTTCCCCACCCTCCTCTCCATCCTCACATACTTCGCCCCCTCCTTCTCCTCCGCCTCGCGCTTCCGCTCCCCGCTGATAGTCAGGACGTTGTCGTCCTCGATCTGCACCTTGATGTCGCCGGACTTCAGCCCCGGCATGTCGATGATGAAGACGTACGAGTTCGGATACTCCTTCACGTCCGCCGGCGTCGCCGCCATGGCCTTCGCGTCGAGGACGAAGGTCTGCGACGGGGCGTTGGACGACTTGTCATCCGCGGCGTGGTCGATAATGTGGTGGAGAGTGTTCAGCAGCGGATCGAATCCCATCAGCCTGAGATCCATTTCTGCAAGATTTCTGTGCTTCTTCTTCGCGTAGAACTCTATGAATCTGAGAGATGTTCTTTGATTTCGCTGGTAAAAAGCGATGCGGTTAGGGATTTATAGCGGAAGGGAAGAAGATTCGGGAAGAAATGGGGGTAGAATGTTTCTAGCAGTTTCTGGGTTCTAGAATTGCTTGGAGCCGTTTCTTTTCTACACATTTCTAGAAGGCTCTCGCACAAACTGGACAATTTATTAGGCATTTGTTTTTTTTGGGTTTAGACAGGGACGCGAGGATAATTCTCTTCCAAATAATACAGTTTGACTTTACAAAAAATTCAAACAGTAATAAGAAAAGGAAAATATGAAAATATTTGTGGGTAATATTAATTTGAACGAGATAGAATGAATAGTATACTCATATTTAGGGATGTTCAAAAATATTCAATTTGGAGAATCCATCCACGATTCGGTTGATATGATCAGAAAAAATGGATATCTTATCCGATATTTTAGCTTTCAGATACTTCGAATCGAATATTCGAAAAAAATTGGGTTAGATATGGAATGAAGTACTAAGGTTTCGGATGTTCAAGGAAATCCAAATTTCATTTCTTTAAAAAATAAGTATTAAAATAAAGTTCATACAACCTAAGTCTAATTTATTTCTATCATCATAAATCTTTAAATCTAAGCCTAGTTTAAGTTTTTACTCTAGCTCTTTTGTCTATGCTTTATTTGTCAATTATATACGTACACCTCCGTCCCAGTGTATTTATCCATTTTGACTTTTTCAAGTCAAACTGGGCAAATTTTGAACTCCAATTACTCTCAATTTATATTGCATATTAACGTAATGAAATATGGAGCACAATTTTGAAATTTCTCAATACGATAAATCCAATAAAGTCATTTTTATGTTAAAATATACTCCGTATTATGATTTTTATTTAATCGAGTCAAACTGGACAAATACACTGGGACAGATGGAGTATTACTTTTCCATATATTTTAATAATGTCGCATAATTATCTTACATTTTTTAAAAATTTCTACATATTTAATTTTTTTTATTCGCAATATTGACACTAAGTCATAGAAATTATTTAAAATTTCAAAAAAAAATTAATGAAACTCATAACCCGTTGGGTCAACCTGAATCCGATGTGGGTCATGAACATGTAGTTATCAATCCGAATCCAAACTTATCCGAACCCGAAGTAACCCAAACTCAAGGTGACCAAATCTGAATCCAATCTGACCGACCGGTTTGCCAGGTCTACTCGACATATCAGACAAATAAAAAATGATTCGAGAAGGGGTCTTTTCGTTTAACATGCTAATAACTTCCAAAATTCTATGATTTCTTTTTTTGGTAATTCTTTCTTTTCTTAATATGTTAAATATGTTTTTTCATGCATAAAAAAGCCCATTCAATTTTCAGACATTAAGTATGTACGGATTTTATAAAGTTAATTTCTTTTTTTAAATAGTTAAAACTGTATCATTTATATACACAATGCTTTCCTTTTATAAAACCATATTATTTATATACACCGCATTAAATTACACATGAATCTTATAAGGTATTTTTCTTTTATAGAATGAAATAAAACTATATTTGCATGTTGCTTAATTATAATTACCGTAGATTAAAAATGTAGATCAAAATCGATGGTCCATAAACGATAGTGTTTGGGCGGGAAAAAGCATGGGGCATAATTCCCCTGCTTTTAAGAATAGGATGATTTAGACTTAGTATTTGTGTGGTTTTACATCATCGATACCCTTCGTATTAGGTGCTCTCTCCGTCCAAAAAAATTGTCACACTTCACCTTTCAAAAATTACGAAAATTTTTGTTTATTTTTATGTTTTTATTAAAACATAAAACAGAATTACCTTGTTATCTTGTTATCTCTTATTTTGCAGATTTTTTGACGTGTTTCTAAATTTGTTATTTTTTTATTTTCATAAAAATCTTTTAATAAAATGAGTTAAAAAATCTCAAAAATGAACTTCTTAACGTTACCTTTTTTTTCAGGCACCGTTTGGTATACGGAATTCAAACTATGGAATTGGAATTGAAGACTTCAATCCCAATTCTGGTGTTTGGTAGCACAAAAATTATGTGAATTTGGAATTGGTAGTGTAAAAAATGAATTAGAATCGGTGAATTCAATTCTATGCAATTGAATCCTTATGGAACTTTAATTCCAATTCCATCAATTCCGTGTACCAAAAAATTTCGGGTAAACTTTTATTGAACTCCACTAGGGATGGCAACGGGTCGGGTTCGGGTCGGATAGTACTATACCCGAACTCGACCCGACTTTTAAAACCGAAACCCGAACCCGACCCGACCTTTAAAGTCAAAAATCCGACCCGACCCGAACCCGAACCCGACTTTTAACCAATAATCAATTCGACGTACCCCAATAATTTTGAAAAGAGTAAATCTAATTTTTTTGTTTCTCTTTTTTTATGTCTCTTTTTTATTAAGGGATTATAAAAATGATTATAAAAGGCATATTTGATATAGTAGCACTTTGTCTAGAGATTATACGGAGTGCTCATTATATTCATAGATAGACTTTTATGTAATAAAATATTCGGGTTTTAGTTGGGTCGGGTGCGGGTTCGGGTCAGGTCGGGCAAAATTATAAATCCACACCCGACCCGACCCGATGTCGGGTTCGGGTAAAAAAATTTGGGTCGGGTTTGGATTATTTTATTTTCGGTTCGGGTTCGGATATTTTAGTAGTCGGTCGGGTCAGTTAAGCTCGGATTCGGGTTGAATTGTCATCCCTATACTCCACTGCTCCCTACTTGCACTCTCCGAGCCTTCTAGAAGTGATAAGAAAGGAACTGGACCTTCCATTTATCTGTAGAACCTGCTAGAAACTTACCTCATTTTCTTCCCGAAGCCTCTTTTCTTCCTGTATAAATCCCTAACCGCCCGACCGATTTTCAGTCACTACAATCAGCGCAATAAACTCAATTTTCAGTTTCGAAATTTTTCTGCCGAACACACAATTTCACACAGCAATGGATCTCAGGTTCGTGCCGCTCGATCATCCGCTCATCAACGCCTTCCACCACATAATCGACCACGCCGCCGCCGACGACAAGTCGTCCAACACCAGCGCCCCGTCGAAGAAGTATGTCCTCGACGCGAAGGCCATGGCGGCGACGCCGGCGGACGTGAAGGAGTATCCGAACGCGTACGTCTTCATCATCGACATGCCGGGGCTGAAGTCCGGCGACATCAAGGTGCAGATCGAGGAGGACAACGTCCTGACTATCAGCGGGGAGCGGAAGCGCGAGGCGGAGGAGAAGGAGGGGGCGAAGTATGTGAGAATGGAGAGGAGGGTCGGGAAGTTCATGAGGAAGTTCGTGCTGCCGGAAAATGCGGATCTGGAGAAGATATCGGCGGTTTGCCAGGAAGGAGTGCTGACTGTGACGGTGGAGAAGCTGCCGCCGCCGGAGCCAAAGAAGCCGAGGACAATTGATGTCAAAATTGCTTGAACATCTGGATCTATATATAAACCAAGTCATATGAGTGCTCTGTTTCTCTTCCATGGAAGTTTTGATTATGCGTTTTTACTTCTCCTGTTATGCATTATGCAATGTAATGTCTGTTTTGAAATCTTCATCTTGAACATCAATATCCCATACTCATTTCGCCAAGTTTTTTTACTTGTTGAATTTACTCATCTTCATCTTTATATACACTCACCAATTGAATTTACCAATTTGCATAGGAGAATAGATGCATTGATCATATATATCTTCACTGGCAACTGGTCTTGCTTCTGGTCTTGCTTCTTGATTTACTAAGATTTACCAACAACAGTAGCTGCAGTGAGCATAGATCTTCTCTGAAGGTTTGCCATCGTTGCTTCTTGATTTCCTTTTTTCGACGAGATAGATTCGTCGTCTTTAGTTCGTTACTCCCTTTGTGTTTACTGGCAATGGGTGTTGCACATAGATTGGTTGTTGTTGCTTCTCAATTGACCGCAACCATTCAAGATTGTTGGGACTGCGCGTGCCCTCACCCAAACCCCGCATTAGTATGATATTGTCCGCTCTGGACCAAGCCCTCACATATTTGTTTTTGGGCACCTCCCAAAAGGCCTCATACTAATGGGGTTGGATGAACCTATATATTTTGGTCCATTTTTACTTCTCCCTCCGGTGTGGGACTTGAGGAATCCCAACAAACCTCCCCTCATCCAAGGACCACACAACTTCCGACCTCCCCTCCAGCGGTAATCCCTTTTTTTTCTTTATCTGCTAACCATCTTGCACCGCCGCACACTCTTTGCGGGACACGCCGCCCGACCTCCTGTCGGGAAGACTTTCGACGCAAGGCTCGAACCGCAGATCTTTCCTTCGCTGGGCTACACCATTTGATCCACCAAATCATCTTGTACCGCCGTGGCTATAACTTCACGGGACGCGCCACCCGACCTCCTCTCGTCGGGAAGACTTTCGACACAAGGCACCACCTGCAGATCCTCTTTCTTGGTCTTGGTCCTAGTTACACCGTCACACCGAGATTTTTCCACACTGCACAGTCCGCTACTCCCGCCCGCAAGAACCTGGGCTCCGATACCACATGTTGGGACTGCGCGTGCCCTCACCCCAACCCCGCATTAGTATGATATTGTCCGCTCTGGGCCAAGCCCTCACTGATTTATTTTTGGGCACCTCCCAAAAGGCCTCATACTAATGGGGTTGGATGAACCTATATATTTTGGTCCATTTTTACTTCTCCCTCCGGTGTGGGACTTGGAGGAATCCCAACAAAGATCTCTTTGTTGGATCACAGTGAGAGAGACACATAAGCTAGTTTACATGTACTCTTCTGTATCTAAGTGAAGGAGATGAAGTTCCAATATGTGTTCGTGGTTTTCTTTTTGGAATTCCTTGAATTGTTAGAATTGTACCCAAAAGTATGAAAACTATAAGAGTACTTTTGTAACTTCCCTTATGATTTAGCCTTCCTTGGTTAAAGTGTAAAAAGGACAAACAGTGGACAAAAAGTTTGGGAGGAAACAACATAAAGAAAAACTGAAAAAAATAAAGAATTTAAAGGTTATATGGTTATAATGTTGTATTTATGTGTGTGACGAATCAAATATCAATGTAACCTTACATTTTATGATGAATGAAAATGCTGAGATATGTTTATATATTTCGTATAACTTAACATAACTTCAATCAACAGGTTATAGCGCTTCAGTTACATATATATAGACTATGATATGATGTTCTCGTTATGAAAGTGTTACTTTTTTATGAATGCTAAGTAGTCTAAATGTTCCCTAGTTGCACCATTCCCTCCGATCAGGCTTGTCTCCCCTTTCTGGTAGTGTTTTGAATCCCAGATCGGACTACCCTGTCCGATCGGTCGGACCGTGAACCAAAGGCATTCCCAGTTCGGCAGTCGTCGACGAGGTTAGTGGAGGCATGGGTGCCACTGCTGACATGGGCAGTGGCAGCAGCGGCCGCGTTATGGGCTACAACAACGATAGCGGCGGCAACGACGAGAAAGTGTCAACGAAGGGGATTGACGTGGAAGAAAATTGTGACCTTCTCAAGAAAACAGTCTGAAAGGAAATGAAAGTGTCACTTAAAATTGGAAAAGCTCTTATTATATATATATATATATATATATATATATATATATATATATATATATATATATATATATATATATATTTATTTATATATAAATATATATATATATTTATATATATATATATATATATATAAGCTAAAGACTCCAATTTCGAGAATGTGTAATGATTTAGTTCTATTTGAGAGGCTTTCTTAATATAGATTTTTGATACGGGTCGTGTAGAGGAAGAACACGAGAGCCCAACGGATCATGAGCAAGGAAGCCCAATAGAAGACCCACCTGACTCGTTGGCGCCCGGTCGGCCGCGTAGGAACGTGAGGCGACCCCAACGCTATGATGATTACGTTTGATTTTACTTTATGCTCGAAGTAATTTTACTTTTCCTTATTTTAATTATTGTAACTTAGATTTTATTAGGTGAGCAAATTATAAGCTCCTTTGAGGGTTTCTTTTCGGTTCTTTAACTCGATGCTTTTCTTGAACCGACAGGATTAGGGTTAGGGTTTTCTCTTTTCATTATAAATATTGATGTACGCCACTTATAACAATATCAATACATCAATAATAGAGTAGTTAAGTAGTTTGTTTTCTCCTTCGGCGAACGCCGCCCATCCTCAGCCGCCCAACCTTGCGTAATCACGTAGGGTTTCTGGCTCCTCTCCCCCAACCCTTATCAATTTTTATGTTTGTCGTAATGCAAATTATTAATGCTTGTTTTAGAGACATTAATATGATACAAATTATAAAAATTGATATTGTCACCTTTATATTAAGACAAACTTAAGAGAATCTCACATTAAATACGGAGTACTTTTTTTAGTTTTAAAATTATTGTCATCGTCAAGTTTGTGATTGTGACCTCAGAACAAAGTTTTTATATACGGAGTATACTCTAACATACTATATTTATTATTTTGGTCCATTGATAATTTTTTGTTCGTATTTTTTACTTATTGTTTGATAAATTAAAATATTTTGTTATACTTTATTTTCTAAAATATTTCATGTAGTTATTTAATTTTACATTTCATTTCTATATAAATTTATGAAGAATAGTTTATAGAAATGAGATTTTGGGCATTTTTTTGAAGTGAGATGATAAATTTGGAAGAAGAATATTTCATAAATATTGGGCCAAACCAAGTACCAATCCTTGGAGAATTCTAGAAACAGCTAGAAAGGAACGGGTCCAACGGAGAACTTGCAACCAGTTCTTCCCGAATGTTCCCACTATTCCGCTTCTTCTAGAGTCTTCTCTTCATTCCGGTATAGTGTATCCTCCATATAAATCCTTAACCGCATAGCCCATTAATCGCCATAACAATCGACTCCTTTTACAGATCTACAAATTCATCTACCAAACCTTCACAGTTTTGCAGGAATGGATCCCAGGCTATTCGGAATTGATCCCAGGCTATTCGGAATTGATCGTCCGCTCTTCAACGCCCTCCACCAGATAATCGACTGTGCCGCCGCCGCCGCCGATGACAAGTCCTCCAGCGGCGGCGACGCCCCTTCTCAGACATTCGTTCACGACGCGAAGGCTATGGCGGCTACACCGGCGGACGTGAAGGAGTACCCGAACTCGTACGTCTTCGTCATCGACATGCCGGGGTTGAATTCCGGCGACATCAAGGTGCAGATCGAGGACGACAACGTCCTGACTATCACCGGGGAGCGGAAGCGCGAGGCGGAGGAGAAGGAGGGAGTGAAGTATGTGAGAATGGAGAGGAGGGTCGGGAAATTCATGAGGAAGTTTGTTTTGCGGGAAAATGCGAATCCTGAGAAGATATCGGCGTCCTGCCGGGACGGAGTGCTGACTGTGACGGTGGAGAAGCTGCCCCCTCCGGAGCCGAAGAAGCCGAGGACAATTGAGGTCAAAATTGCTTGAAATCAACGAACATTTAAATCTGGCCAAGCTGAAAACAGAGTATATTATGATTGCGCTATTTCTGTTCCTTATTGATTATGCGTTTAATTTTGTGTTATGCAATGGAATTTTCAGTTACTTTTCATCTTGAAATAATGATTTTGTATCTCCATACTTAGAGGAGTTAGAGCATCTACAATATGAGGCAGATTTTACTTTTTAGGGAGCCTGCCTGTAACATCACCATTCTCTAATCCGGAAAAGATTTTTCATTACTCGTTAAGACAGGCTTATGGATTTTATTTTATTTTAATTTATTTAATTTAGGTATAAAATTTAAAAATAAAATTTGTATGGTAAAAAGTTACATAAAAATTTTTAAAATAAGGGGTGACAAGATTATACTCCTTCCGTCCTAAAATTAATTTCCCATTTTGACTTTTGCAGTCAAAGTTTTTAAACTTTGATTGCATATTACGGAAAAAATATATTGAATTTTCATATAAATTTAGTATCAATAGATTCATTTTGAAACATAGTTTTGAAATATATTATTTTGATAATATATATTCATACAAAAATGAAGATATCGCTGGTCAAAGTGCCGCATTGGAGACCGTGAAAAGTCAAATGGGAAATTAATTTTAGGACGGAGGGAGACAGGGAGTATTATTTTATTAAATGAGTTACAATGTACTCCTTCCGTCTTGGAGTATTCGTCCAGTTTTGACTTTTGAAATTGTTCATCTTAGCACTTTGATTCATCAAATTTTTTCAATGTGTAAGCCTAAATATAGTCATATGTGATCTTGTTTGATTTGTCTTAACGTATAGATTATTAATATATAATTTCTATAATTTTTTAATATATAAATTATAAGATAAAATGGATTAAAGAAGTGTATTGGATGGTATGTAAAAATGAAGGTGGACAAATACTCTGGGACGAATGTAGTATATAAATAAAGTTATGTAGAAATATGTAATTTTACATGAATTCTACATTTTTCTTTTCATAGTTAATGGTAGAGGTCATTGTTAATGTATGATTTTTTTTGTTGGAGTCATCGCCCACCAAAGCCATAATTCATGTGTTGTTATTGGTTGAACTCAAAGTTGTAAACTTGTAATCATACCTATTATTCCGTTGTTTGTCAAGTCCACACTAGAATGAATGGTTGGACCTAATGTCAATGTAAAATAAAATATTATTTATGGAAAGATATTCATAAACGAAAGATCACGAATGTAATAGTTCAAGAAAGTGTGTGTAAAATAGTGACTTGGCTATTGGTGGAGTTTGAAATTACATGGACGTGTTGAAGGTTATGATGTAAAGAATGTATAGTGAGAGTTCGATTTTATCCTTCTCAAAAAATAGTATCTCATTTATATCACAATAAGAATATTGGGGATTAGGTTAACTAAGAACTTCGTGTTGTACATTTCTTTTGCAGACTAGGTTTAATATCTTGAGTATAAGAAAACATTATTTCACTAATAATAAAAGAGGGTACAAACGATTCAAAATATTTTAGTAAAGTCTTAACCCATTTAGTCGAGGGAAAAAATGTAAAAAACAACTTGTATCCATACAAAGAGATATGTATCTACTCCCTCCGTCCTAAAATTAACTTCCTAGTTTGACTTTTGTATTCAAACTTGTTAAACTTTGACCGTATATTACGGAAAAAATACATTGAATTTTCACATAAATTTATTAGCAATAGATTCATTTTGAAACATTGTTTTGAAATATATAATTTTTATAAAATATATTTATATAAAAATTGAGATATTGATGGTCAAAGTGTCGCATTGGAGACCGTGAAAAGTCAAATGAGAAGTTAATTTTAGGACGGAGGGAGTATATTTTTTCT